GAATTTATCACCTTTTATTTGCTTTTGAAGTAACTTAACTGCACCTGATATAATAGGAATTCGTTTTGTTTATAAAAAACCGATAGCATTGAAGTGCCTGTCATTCAACTCAATAGGTGCTATTGAAGAGTTATTCAATTCTTTATTGACTTCTAAATTTTTTATTTAACTTTAGGTGATAAAATAATTAAACATGTGAAGCCATTGATAAATGTATTCTAATTGTATTTTCAGTGCTTGAACTTATCTCATGAAAAGAATTGAGTTGACAAGGAATGTATGTTTTCTACCGCATGTTTTGTTTTCATATTTTTTCGTTAACGATAAATCTATTACATAAAGTTACAAATTTAACTCTTTGGTACACAGCGAAAAAAAAAGTATGATCAAAACTACCAGAATTTACCGCGATTCTGGCTCTATGGCCAGAATCAAAAAGATCGACCATTTTTATCGAAGCAATTTGATAAAATTAACACTAAAATTTGGTTTTATAAAATTTGGTAACCATTAACCGGTAGCCATAAAAACCATTTATTTGATTAAATTTTCTTTTCAGTTTCGTGTTATTTATTAAATGTGGGGTAATAAGAACTATAATTTTTAAAACGTGAATTTCCGGTAAACCGTTGGCATATGAACAGAAAAATCACCAAATAAATGGTTACCGTATAATAATACCGTATAATTTAGTTTCGCGTGTTATTTTATGTGTTTTTTTCTTTTTTTAGAAATGTTATTATCATTAAATTTTATAACACGGAAACTTTACCAGAATTTTTTTCTCCGAGTATAGTATTTACATAAATTTCCAATTGTCAACTGATTAACTGATTTATTATTTTATACATAATCCTTTGAGGGTATAGTGACCTGAATAATAAAAAGAGATGATACATAAATTATTTATGGACGCAGCTCATGTTGATGGATGTGATATATATTAATTGATATGCTTCATCTCAAGTTGTTTACGTATTTCCAAAAAGGAAATACAGTGTATTAGATATAAGTTTGGATTCACTTTCGAAGGTTTGAGCCAGTGATGAAGAGGTATAATAGGTTTATGTAATGTTTGAGATCAAAATGAGGTTAAATATTAAATAAGGGACCTCTCTACTATTAATAAAAAAATGCCATAAATTGTGCTATCACCGCTATGAAATGAGAAAACTGGAATGAAAGAAATAAAAAATTTGCTGTTAATATCAAAATTATTTCAACATGAAACTTCAGCTAGTTTTTGGAGTTCTGAAATTATCTATTATAAATTTATGCAATATATATATATGTCAGATAAAAGAAAAAAAATTGACGGTGCCACTTTATTTTTAGTAATGTAAAAAGAAATATGAAGAACATTCATAAATTTCCTTTGACCCTTTGCAAGACAGAAAATTTTAGCCGAAAAAAAAATAAGTCAAGAAAAACCAAAAGAGTTGGTCCTCTATACATATCCACAATGAAGCTATTTATTTTTAAAATTTTTTGAATAGAAATGTTTGAATAAAAACTGTGTTGTTTACGAGATAAAAACTCTTGCAATTTTAGTGGTTCATATTATTGTCAAAAATAAGGGGAACAGTTTTTATCTCATCACCCGTGAAAAGGGTTAAAATGGAAATCTCAACCCACTTTTAGAGGTCGGACTCCACTCAAGGTTAAAATTGCATTTCATTTATTGTTACACATGCATATGCAGGCTTGTATGTTTATTATAAAGAAAGCAAGTTGGAAAACAGACAGTAAAAATTCGAGAAATGCATTATAAAAGTACATCCAGAGTTACGGCGGGATTCGAACCCGCTACCTTCACAATATGGATCGTTTGGCAGATCGGTGGTACTGCTCAAACCATGGAGGCTCTCCAAACTTATTAAATATGTTATACAGCTGCTGTGACTCAGGAGGTAGAACATTCGCCTACCATTAAGGCGACCCAGTTTCGAATTCCAGTAGTGGTTGGTTGATACGAATTTCGCTCGAAGCTCGCATCGACCACATTGTAGACTTAAAATATCCGTAGTAGTAGACATGTGGGTTAGGATTACCTTTCCGGCTGAATATCCGTGGGAGATTTTCGTGGTTTTGTTCTTCATGCAACGCAAATACGGGTTAGTTGAATCAAAATATTCTACACTAAGGTTAGTTTGTCCGAATGCTTGATTCAGGAGTTCCATTGTCTTCTGGGTTGGGTTTAAAATTTCAAGGGTACAGAGTTGATAGTCATAAACTCAAAATTGGGTAAAGTATTCAACACCGGTGCAAAACTTAATGCTGCCACTTTACTTACAATAAATAAAAAATGACCAGTAAAATTTGAAAAATTATTAAAAATACACCACTTAAAATGAAACTTAAAGAGAAAGAGAAAGTTTAAATTTATAAAAATTTAATAATTAAATTCAGAAAACTTCAGCGCAAACCCGAGCTAGACTATGAATCCGACTATTTTAATAAAGAGTTCAAGTTGAAAATGTTCCATCTGTACAATGCATAACGTAAAATAAAACAAGTTATATCATTTGGTTAAAAAGCTTTAAAACATAGCATTTATTAGAAAATAGATTTCCTTCTTTTTATCAGATCTTTACCTTATTTGCTTAAGTATCGCTTGTACATTTTATCACAAAGAGACTAAAAATTTATGACTGAAATTTTGAAACAGAAACAAGATAAAACTAAATATGTAATGACAGTAAACAAGAAAATAAATCCAAAATCTGTGCTAATAGTCTAACTTCTAACCTTGAATTTCTTTTGTACTATCTACCGCTTTAAATCACGTAGAATTTTTTGACATTCCTACAATCATATATTTTGATATTTTTGATGGGTGAAAGAGGTGGATTTTAAATATAAAGAAGATGTTTATATCTTGTATTTCTAGAAACTAAAAAATTAAAATAATATAATTCAATGTTAACTAAGAAAGATAAATAAAATGATAACGTATGCTATTAAGTGATCGGAATGAAATTACAAAAAGAAACTTAAAATTTTTCAATTCTATATTTAAGTAGTAACGGGAATTATTTTTGAATATTATTTATACAAAATTACTGTTATCAACCTTTTTTTTTATTCAATTATTCTTTTATCTACAGCACTTATGCTTCTGGTATATGAGAGTTATTGCAATACTTTTTTATTACAGACGAAAATAATAGCCATTGTGTTCAAACTTTGTTGTCCTTTTGTTTGTTTGCTAGAACCCTTGTTTTATTAATATGCCATATCTCCAGAGATGGTTTTAAGTTAAAGCAATATTTATATTTACGTTAACCTATAAAAAAGATTTAATATATATAACTAAAATGCAAATGAATAATATAAAAAGATTAGTCATTCTTTGAAAAAAATTAATACATGTAATAGTTAAAAAATGGAATTTGCCTCCCTTTGGGACATTTCTCCAAACCTTGATGGAACTTATGAATTTTTTCAATTGTTCACAAAAAAAAATACTTCGGCTTCCAGGCAATATATTGTATTTAGATGACATAGTTTGTTTTAAACCTATAAAAGATACTATATATTAGCATAGGATTGTAAAGACGTAGGAGTTCTTGATACAATCACGACTTCCTACGATGCATCTTAAATTTATTTATTTCTATTGTTGTTGATGCACAAAACAAACATGAAAATTAATATAGCACAGTAGCTACCGGCCATCTAAAAAATTTTCTATTTTCCGAAGGAACTAAGATCTGCCCCTTTGCCCTAAACGCCATCTACACCGGACTTCCGCCGATCATATCCTAGACTGTCTTGGTCTTTTCTGGGAAGACATTTACTTTACTCCTCTTTTGGTCTTTGATTTTATTCAGGTCAACGGGTTCATAGATCTGGTCTGACTTTTGTCAGGCCAGAAGAGGATAAGCTACAACAACACAACAATATTACAAACAACACTATCTTATAATCTCTCGACACTTAGTCTCTTCAGAAAAAAAGCTACTTTGCTACGCCATTTAGTGGCCAGTTTCTTGCAGTATACATTCTGTGCAAAATTAAAAGTTTTAAGAAACTTAACTGAATTTAAAACGGGAATGTAATACAGATATGAAGAATATTAATAAGTTGCAAGCTAGCTACCAAGTTGGCTTTGTATTAGGGAACATAGGATATGAAACGGGAGGTTTCATGCAGATACTGCCTGTGTCTCGAACTAGTCAGGCTACAAGACTTCACCGCTTTGCAATTCCACATTGTTTATCACCTGCATAACATCACCCCTTCACGACTCCAAGTTGCTTCCTGCTGCTTTCGATTGCATTTCTCTGACTCCTTTGTATGGAATACTTTCTATGACTTGCCTGTGACAACCAGTCGGTCCTACACACGCATGTCTACATAACCATCACTACCTCACCTTTTTCTGACTTAATGGCAACAAAAGTCAGAATCAGCTATGCTATGTCAAACGCATGGGGAAAATTAGTGGAAAAGTATAGTCATTAATGTCCAATAGGCACAATAATAAACAATTATAAAAAAAAAAACGTTTTCAAATTTATTTTTGTAATAAAGAATGTCGCTGGGGACACTTCTCTATTATGAACTCTTTTTTTCGTGTGTGGTCGTAGTAAGATAATGCCATTAGCGGCATATGATGACACTTCCAGGCATGGGTTTCTTAGCAATTCTATGATGTTCCAATTAGCAATGATGATGTCCCTAACTTCCCTAGAAAATTGCTTCACCTTTTACGTGACACACTTTACATTATATAACGTTTTTAAGGCTGTACATTTCGATTAAAATCGATTAAAAATGTAATTTTAAATAAAATATGAGGCTTTAAGAGCAAAACTAATTTCAGTTTAAAATCCCCAAATTAAGCAAGATCAAGTATTTGTATAAATGCAACAAAAATTGTGTTTCCCATTGTTATTAAAGATATTTGAAGATATTTAAACTTTAATACATTTATTTGAATTTAGGAAAAAACTGCTCAGTCAAAAAATTTTTAATATGCATATTTATTTTCTTAGGTGGCTGACGCCATTTTTTATGAAAGGTAGGAAGGGGAACTTGAAATTAACTGATATCTATGATTGTCCAACTGTTGACGAATCTGATAAAATAAGTGACGTCCTTATAAAGTAAGTAGTTTTTCTCCTTTTTCTAACTATAGACTATATATTTGTTATAATAGGGAATTAAAATTTTTTGTACTTTTGCCTGTGAGCTTTTTACGTTTAAGTCCTAAATTCTATAAGCAAGCTTACGTTTATTTTTATAAAATATTAAAGTCAAATATAGCTTTAATAACTTAAAAAAGAACAGAAGAAATGAATTACGATTGATTCAAACATTTAAATTGTTAAGTACTCTACTATAAATTTATATTCTAATTTCACAAAACTTTCTTTGTTTTTGACGATACCGTTTCCTAGTGCATGCTTCTGGCAAACATTTCGTCAAAGCGCGCCAACATCCCGCCCGGCCTTGCAATGTTCACATGCAAGAACTTAACCTAGAAAATTTAAAAATAAACACAAATATTACATAACTTGACATTATATAAAACATAAACATTATAAAATGTAGAAAACAGAATATATGACATTATATGAAAAATACATTCCTTTATTTAGGTATCAATAGGCAAGAGAGCTATTTTAGAAACAGCTCTTTTAAATACTCCAGCTTTTGTGCGAATTTTCACTACACGCACTTTATTATCTGAACCATAATAAACATAAATTATTCGGCCTTAAATCCAGATATTTAAAGGCAAGAAATCTTCTTTAACAAGTACCATCTGTCCTATCTTTAAATCATTTTTTGTAACCATCCATTTTTATCTAGCTTGCAACGTTTTGAAATAATCTGACTTCCACTTTTCTCATACAAGTTGTACAACTTTTGCAGTTTTCTGTCACCGACTTGGCCGATTATCATTCAGATCAGTTAAATTTGGCACGACAATTAATGTTATAGGCCGACCTATTAGGTAATAACCTGGTGTTAAAACATCAAAATTTTCATTATCACCGCTTAAGAGCCAAAGGGGGCGACTATTAAGAATTAACTATTGTTTCCATCTATTCGTATGAAATTTTCCAACTGCTCTTTTAAGATGTTTTACAGATTTTTAAACCACCTCCCAAAGACCTCCAAAATGGGGCGATTTTGTTGGAATAAAATTCCATTCTATGCCTTCAGAGGTAAAATAATTAGCTAAGCTCTAATCTGGAAAATTAATTAATCTATAAAAGTTTTTTAATTGAGAATTACCCCCAACAAAATTAGTGGCATTATCGGTATAGATTTTGGAGCATTTATCGCTTCTACTCTTAAATCGTTTCAGTGTGGCAATCATCGAATCGGAAGTCAAATCAGACAGCTGTTCAGAATGGTTAACTTTTGTGGAAAAACAAATGAAAATACAAATATATACTATGTTGAGAGTACCTTTACGCTGATGTTTATATTTATAAGCAAAAGAGCCGCACAGGTGACGGAAAATGGGGGTGACATGTTGACTCTTTCACTTGGTAAATTACACATAATTTGAGTGGAAAGGAAGGGCTTATATTTAGAGCATGTTACACATTGATGTAAAGTTTGACGTGCAAGATTACGACCTCCTAAAGGTCAAAATTTTAACCTAACTGCACTTAACAAACCTTGAGGGCCAATATGAAGTAATTTCCTGTGTAAACTATCGAAGTAAATTTTATTTAATTTGAACTTTTTTGGTAAGATTACCTGATGTTTCTGATCAAAAGGTACTGAAGCTTTATCTAACTTTTTTCCAACTCGTATTAAACCGTCCCTATCTACGAAGGGATTTGTACTAGAAATATTGCGCGAAAATTTTTTTTATTTACCAGTTTCTTCTGAGAATGCTTAAACTGGATATTTGCAGAATACATTACCTTGTCAACTGTCAAGCGTCCCAATTTCTTATCCTTATGTCTACAATTGTAAAGAAATCCTCAAATATAGCACAAAATATGATTAATTTTATAATAATTATTTGAGAGTTCTGAAAGTTTATCAATCAGGCTCTGTGAATCATCAGTTAGCAAAACAGTCTCTTCTGTACTCTCGGTTGAGGAAACAGTTTTTGCTTCTCGGAGTTTTGCTTCTTTTTCGCCTTCTGCAAGGAATTCTATCTCAGGAATTGATTGTTCAAAACAAAAGTTTCTCGAAAATCTTATTCCATCAAAACTTCGGCACCTGTCCACCACCTGGAACTATCAACCAGACATTCAGCACTAATTCCACGAGAGAGAATACCTGCAGGATTATTTGTACCTGCACAGTGGTGCCAGGAATTTGTATCTCTCAAAGTGACTATTTCTTTAACTCGATTAGCAACGAATTGTTTCCAACGAGTTGTCTTCCCCTTTATCCAGTAGAGTGCAATTTTAGAGTCAGTCCAATGATATGCAATTGAAGACCTTTTCAGATTCACAATCTTTTTCACTTTAAATGTCAAGCGAGCAGAAACTAGAGCTACCAGCAATTCCAGTCTAGGCATACTCGGCTTTTGAAAGTCAAAAGTCTAGCGATAGGTCCATTTGGTGTGTGAATTTTCAAATATACTGTAACACCGTATGCGTTCTTACTAGCGTCACAAAAACTATGAATTTCGACGATATCCTCCTTCGATAGAGAATTAAGAACTAGTCTAGGTTTCTTAAGATTTTCCAAAAAAGGTATCTCTTCACACCATTTTATCCACTCTTTCTCTATTTTCGGTGGCAAGGATTCATCCCAAGAAGTTTTTTCACTCCGTAGTTCTTGGATCAGACATTTCATTCGTATGGTGAAGCATGAAATTAACCCTCAAGGGTCAAATATTTTCCCTATAGCCTGGAGTATCGAACATTTTGTACTTTTGCTTGAGGATACGAATTTTAAGAGACTTCTAGTATCTACAGAAAAATAATCTCCTCTGGTGTTCCATAAAAGTCCCAACACTTTAGTCTGATTGGAGTGCAGACTGACACTAGCGTTTGAAGGAGGAGTATCTAGTCCCTCATTCTTCCTCTGCTCCATCAAATCAGCATCATTAGTAATCCACTTCCTTGGAGTCATTCCAACAGCTTCTATTATTTTATTTGCATCCCTGGATATTTCTAATGCTTCATCAAAAGTCATTGCTACCGGATATATATGTAGTCCTCGTAAAGATTTCTATCTAGAAGTTGAATGATAACAGGAAGATCACTTTCATATATTTTGATATGGTGCCTGATAGTAGCAGCTAGTAAAAATGAACTTGATTTGACTCCAAAATTATTTTTTTTGGATCTTTGGAAACACTTGGTTCATCATTGCTCCAAAAGAATCTTGCTGCGTCTTTGTGTACCTCAGCAAGACCTATTTAAAGGAAGGCCTACTTCACACCAGAGCAGAAAGCGGTTCGGTCAAGTCCAAATTCAATAAGTACATCTAAAAGATTGGGGTTTAAATTTTGTCCTGGCCACAAACAGTCATTGAGGTCATTGACGTCATGCGCCGCAGCGTCAAACACAACTCCTAACGATGTTCTTTAACTTTTTTTTCAACGGCCATGTGGGATAAATAAAATACAGGTCTTTCACATTCATTCTGTATACTATCAGGTTTGACTATTTCTATAGTGCCTTGACTTAGATACTCCTGTGTAATTTCACGGTATCTATTATAGAGATCCGGGTCATAATTAAGTCTTTTCCATAAACTTCGGAAATGTTGTTTCGCTAAAGAATAATTATCAGCAAGTTCATTACAGTCTTTTCTAAATGGAAGTTGTACTATGTAACGACCGTCTTTGAAATTCAACAGTTTCATTAAATATTCCCATGGCCTGATCTTTCTCTTGTAAAATTGTATCGTCCTTCATCCCAAGCCCCTCCAAATTAAAAAAACAGTCGAAATGGATATAGTTAATTTCCAATTAATGTTTTGGGTCGATCCGTTTAAACCCGAAACCTGTGTTTTAATTTTATCCTTTTTAATCCCTAATAAATCGCTCATATGTTTCGTTAGTACGCATATATTAGAAGCTGAGTCAATAATCGAGTTTATTTTTATTCTCCTACCATCTACACATGTAATAAATATTTCAGCCGTTGAGAGCAAAACGTATTTTTTGTTTTGTCTAGATGTGGTTTAAAACCGAAGCATTGAAATTCGGATTGTAGTAGAGGAATTACTAGTAGATTATAAGGAAGTGACAGGTGATCAACTTTACTTTGAGACAGCAAACGATTAATATTCATAGAACTCGAAGACGAGATATTTGACTAACTTTCTTTCGAGTTTAATTTTGAGCAAAATAGCTTTGAATGTTTCAAAGAGCAAGGACACCGATATGGGGCTTAGTGTGATTGGGCTTCTGCATGATTTTTTTTCCGGACATATTTTGCATAATTTATTAACACGAATTATGTATCTTTATTCTTTCTTCAATGTCAAGACTTAAAAATAATGTGCAGCGAAAAATAGGGTGCATACCTTGCTTAGAAAGAAAGCAATTCTTATTTTTATTCTCGTTTTCAGACGCTAAAAGAGTTTTAGGTTTAGAAGGAAACATTTGGTACTTTTTTATTTTTGTTTCGGAAGCATCGAAAGATGGAATTTCTTTTGTTTTTTGTAGCAGTTCAAAGTTTTTATGTGATTCTTTATAGAGTTCTTTTAACATTATAGTTTGTTAAAATATATCAAATAGAGCATCTTGATTATATTTCAACACCTTTAGAGTCCTTAAATTTTTATTTAAACAATCAATCAAGGTACAAATTTCTACAGCATTTTCTTTTTCAATTTTCTTAAAATTCAAAATGGATTGAATGTGTATATCTACGACTAATCTTTTACTGTCATATCTTGAAATTAATGCTTCATATAAAGAAGTAAATGTATCGAAAGTAGAAGCAAATTCTTTCACTTCTTTAGCAAGACAAGAGTTTAAATAATACACTTTCTGTGCTTCACTGAGTTGATTGTTAGAAGTAGTAATTAATCAAATCAATCGTCAAATTGATTTTTAAAACTGGAAAAATGTTCATATATTCCAGTAAATATAGGAAGAATATCAGAAGGACATTTAGTTACAGTTTCTAAGTTATCATTTAATTTATTCTCTGTCTTGTTATTAGGATCTGAGTTCGGTAGTTTATTAGAATTTATTAATTGTAAAATTCCTACCTCTAAATTATCCAAACGATCATCACACTGATTCAAATCAGAATCGGTGGCGGCAATATCACCAACTTGGATGTCCAAGTGGTAGTGTGTTTGTCGTAATGCATCACCTAATGTATCACTATAACTTCTATTTCTTAAAGACTTCTAAGTTTACGTTTAACTCTAAGATATCAAATTCACGCTGGTCATCAGGTTGTAAAAAGTTCTCTAAACGAGTAATTTTTCCTTTGAATGCAGTTCGAGATCTATTCGTGAGGTCGATAGCTTTAGGAAGAGCCATTGTTCTTGGCTCAAGCTCCGATGCTCGAAGGAGCCAGATGTTCAGAAATTAAATAGACGGACCAGTGTTTAAAAAAAGAGATGAATTAATTTTTATTTATTTTCATCTTAATTATCGCTAAAAGAGCGAATTCAGTTTTGTTTTTCATTAGACGTAGCTGTCGGTACAGCAGCCTGTCATTATAAAGAATTTATGTTAATCATGATAGAAAATCTCATTTATAAATAAATATGATTGAACAGTGCAAAAATTATAATTTTTTTTGACATTAGACATTATTTGAAAGAAACTGTATAACTTAATTAAAATTTTTATTATATTCGATTTTATTAGTCACTATGAATTTTTGTGATAATTTTATGCGCTTTAAGTTTTTGTATTATTCATTATCCACTATTTTTTTTAAATCTTACTATTTGACTAATTGCTTTCTATTTCATTTTTTTTATAGAGAATGGGAAAAGGAACTTAAAAAACAAAAGGAAGGAAAGAAGCCGAGTCTTTTTAAAGCAACTATAAGAAGTTTTGGTCTGTTTTATTGTCTTAACGGCATTTATACTCTTATTGAAGTAAGTAAGCGGAATTTTAATTTTTGTAAGTCATTAATTTTTTTCAGAACATCAAAATACATTAAAGCAATGAGTGCGCATTCATTAGAAAGTACCATGCTAAAATTTTCAGGCTAGAAAAATATCGCGTGTTCATCTTGTGTTCAAAATACTAATGAGATATTATATTTAGATTTTATATTTTCACGATTCATACACCATTCGTTAGATTTTGAAGGTAAGATTCACAGAACTGATTTAAAAAAAAGAACCAAATAAAAAATAGTTAAAATATTTTTTTTTACAAATGAAAACTAAAGAACTTAAACAATTGAAAAGGTGCATTACAAGTCTAGTTAAATTTCACATACATTCCGCATGATAAATTATATATGTTTTGACACAATCAATACACTCTCAGAAATAAAACTATCGATTTTGATGATTCAGTAATCTTTGAGTCGTATTTCGTTAGTTTTGAGAATTATTTTATCACGAAATCACCTGATTAGTGACGAAATGCGAACTCTCAAATGTATGACGAAAATGTTTCGTCAACTCGGAACCTCATCACAGTGCATTGTGGGAGATTGCGGGACTGGAATGAAGACAAGACGATCGAAATTACAATGACGAAATAAGCCCAACGGTTCTATCGTGGTCAAGGAGTTGGCATTACACCAAGAAGATGTCGGCTTTAAATCCCACTGCTGCCATTGATGTAATATTTCTTTCTATTATGTCTGTCCGTATGTCGTTGCGGCGAGATATTCAACAGTATAGTGCCCTCGGAAAAATAATCAAAATTACCACTATGTCATGAAGTACTACGAGTGCCACATAAAGTTTTTCTTTCTTTTTTCCATTTGGAAAAAAAATTAAAATGGCGAAAAGTTTTTTTATGTGTGGAAGTGACTATATTCGTCATTTTGACGAAATGTTCACTCATACACCAGGAAACGGTTTCGTTCAAAACGAAGAAAATTTCGTCAAATTTTCGTCAATTATAATTTTTTTCTTCTGATTAATTAACCTTTTTGTGAACAATTAAAATGATAATGTTAGTCTCCTTTTTCCGTGTTCTGCCGTTCTTGAACTTTCAAGAGCCTATAATCCTCATAAAATTGGCGGAATCAATTTTTGAGAATTTTTTTTTTGTAAACTATTAGCAGGATAATGCTGTTCTTCCGTTAGTTAATTTTGCTTCGGTGTTTCCGAGTTCATTTGCTTATAAATTAAAATTTATGTGAACAATTAGTAGGATAATTATGTTTTTCTATTAATTGCCTTCGCTTGTTTGCAAATAAACCCTTTTTTGTACACAATTAGCAGGTTAACGCAGCTCTTCTGTTATTTATCTTTAACGCTGTGGTTGAGTTCATTTGATTGTCAGGCTTTTCTCTTAGAAATTACCATTTCTGTTTGGTTGGTTTAGTTCTTTTTTTTCAATGCACAAAAAAGTATAAGACTTTTTATTATTATTTTTTACTTATTAATTTAGTGATTTGTTTTGTTCACGCAAATGATGGAATTATTTAAAGAGTTCAAAGCTAATAAATATTTTTGTTAACTATTAGCAGAATAATGTTGTTCTCCTGTTAAATTAAATCTGAAATGTAGCTTTCCAGTTAATTTGATAAATAATTAATATTTTTGAGAACAATTAGCAGGATAACTCTGTTAATTGTCTTTACCGTTGTGGTTGTTAAGTTCATTTGTTGATAAGCAGACTTTTCTCTTAAACTACCATTTGAATTTGATTAGCGTATTTCTTTTTTTTAATGCACGACAGAGTAATAAGACTTCTTATTCTTATTTTTTACTTATTAATTTAGTAATTTGTTTTGTTTACATGAGAAAGCATATCAAAATCATTTCAGCAAAAATTGAAACCGTGTTTGTTTTTAATTCAATGCACAAGGGAGAAAATATTAATCTTTTGTTATCTAAGGTAATGACACAATGTTAAGAGGTTTTAACAGAATTAAAATAAATTCGGTTATTTAAGATGGCATGACATGGTTTGTTTGTTTACATAGACTTATAAACTTGTCTACCATATGTTGATGAGCATAACTCAAAAAGTTTTTTTTATGTTTCGTCAAGGTTTGCTTTGCTTGTTTCGTTTATATCAATATGAAATTAATCCCTTACATAATATAAAGTTAGGCTTTCAAGCTGACTGCGTTTTCAAAGAAACCCTAATCCGGATCATGACTTAGCGCTTCGCTGAATCTATCCTTGTCTTTTTGGACTGTTTTGAGAACAATTTCAACGATTCTAAGCGTCCGTATATGCTTATCACGTTTACGGTTGCCAATTCTATACATTTTTTAGTATTTACTTTTTATCCGTGTGACCTTCTGACCATTGGATAAGATTAAATAAAACTTTCCATTCTAAATCCTGAGATCGTAGTATACTAAAATTTAATATATTAAAATTAAAATTGAGTGTCCACAATGCAAAAAATTATAAATAAACGAGTTATTTTACTGTTCCAAATAAAGCAAAATTTTATAAAAAGAAAATTTGAATTAAAAATAGTCGTTTGCAGTTCTAAAAGTTAGTTTTGGAGTCAATTGTTTTTATTGGTGTGATATGTTTTTTAAACAATTCTATCTAAATTTGTAAGTAAGACGTACGTGCTCGGGGGAGGGGGTTGAAATTTATTATATTCAAATTATAATTAATTGAGTGTTCAAGATGCAAAAAAATTATGCACAAAAGAATTATTTTACTGTTCCAAACAAAGAAAAAATTTATAAAAAAAAATTTGCATTGAAAATAATCGTTTTCAATTCTAAAAGTTAGTTTTAGAGACAATTGTTTTTATTGGTGTTTATTTTAAATGTTTTATTATCATGTTTTATTATTACGATATGTTTTTTTTCAAATAATTCTATCTAAATATGTAAATAAGATGCAAAAGATGTAAATATGTGCTTAAATATCTCTCTATACTCGGCTTATATATCTAGATTGAAGAGAAAGTAGTTCAGGCGGAGTAAAGTTTTAATATATAAAATTAAAAAGTATTAAAAGCTATTACTTTTCAACTATTTGAAATAACATCAGATACATGTTTTAACTGCTAGAAGTTTTATCAATAAGAAATAGAATAGAACACTTACGTACTTATGCAGGTGTACAATAAATTGTAATACATAAATATCAAAATGAGTTTAGTTCGATATTATGGTTACATGTATTTTGAACTAAAATCTTAAAAAAATTTCAAATATACGATGAGATAGAACTAAATATATTGTTCAATGTTCATTTTTTTTTAAAAAATTTTTAAACATTTTTAGTTAAAGTATAATAAGAGGAATAAATTTTCTCATAGACCTTAGATTTCAGATAAAAACACATTTAACATTATATAAATTCTACGTACGAAGTTATAAAGAATTCTATAAATCAATGATATTTGATGATATTTGCTGATTATCACCAAGTTAGATACCTTGATCTAATAACTTTAATAAATGCATCATACTTCTAAAGATCAATTAGCAATTTTTAATAATAAGATATTTTTGCTAAAGGTAATTTTCCCCTCTCCTGTTCTCCGAAAAGGAAGAGGGTACTTATCTATTTTAAATTGCACGTCATTTAAAAAGTGAAAATCTGCAAGCAGAGCAAAAATATATATCGTCATTTGTACAGAAGGCATTAAAAAAAAGCACTGTCTTAAAAGTATTCTTTAGCTAGCATATTTGTGTGTTATTTTTCCCCTCCCCTGTTTTCCGAAAAGGAAGAGGGTACTTATTTTATTTAAATTGCACGTCATTTAAAAAGTGAAAATCAGCAAGTACTGCAAAAATATGTATCGTTATTTGAACAGATTGCATTAAAAAAAAAGAAAAGAATACTTTTAAGACAGTGTTTTTTAAATGCAATCTGTACAAATAACGATATATATTTTTTCTGTACTGTCTTAAAAGTATTCTTTAGTTAACATATTTGTTTGTTTTTTTACCCCTCCCCTGTTCTGTGAAAAGGAAGAGGGTACTTATTTTTTCAAATTGCGCGTCATTTAAAAAGTGAAAATCAGCAAGTACAGTAAAAATATATATCGTTATTTGTACAGATTGCATTTAAAAAAAATAAAAGAATACTTTTAAAATATATATCGTCATTTGTACAGAAGGCATTAAAAAAACACTGTCTTAAAAGTATTCTTGTGTTAGCATATGTGTATGTAATTTTCTCCTCCCCTGTTCTGTGAAAAGGAAGAGGGTACTTATTTTTTCAAATTGCACGTCATTTAAAAAGTGAAAATCAGCAAGCAGAGTAAAAATATATATCGTCATTTGTACCGAAGGCATTAAAAAAACACTGTCTTAAAAGTATTCTTTAGTTAGCATATTTGTGTGTTATTTTTCTCCTCCCCTGTTCTCCGAAAAGGAAGAGGGCAGTTATTTTTTTTAAAAATTGCTCGTCATTTAAAAAGTGAAAATCAGCAAGTACAGCAAAAATATATATCGCTATTTGTGCAAAATGCATTTAAACAGAAACACTGTCTTAAAAGTATTCTTTAGTTTGCATATCTGTGTGTTCTTAGAATAATTTAGACTACAAAATTTCCCATTGCATTCGATTATTACATAAATTATTAATTTTTGTGGAAAAAAAATCTGTTTCTAGAGTGCAATTTTTAGAGCAATTTTTGTTTTCTGTTTCTTCTAGTTCTGTTTTATTTACTTTAGGAATGTTTCATTCACGTAATGCAGCCTATTTTCCTCGGATATCTCATCGAACATTTTGCAAGACTGACGGTGATGCCAAAACCAAGTTTATATATGTATACGTCTTTTGTGTGTCTTTTAGCTTGCATGTTTGTATTTACTCATCACAAATATTTCTTTGGAGCACAAAGAATGGGTATGCGGCTTCGTGTTGCTTGTTGTGCCCTTATCTACAGAAAGGTTTGTGTCATTTCATTTTTCTTACTATACACTTAATATTACTTATTTCTAATTCATTTTATATCAATTTCAGTCTCTAAAACTGAGTCAAGCTGCTCTAAGTCGGACGACTGTTGGTCAAATGGTTAATCTTTTATCCAATGATGTGAACCGATTTGATCAGGTGAGATGAAGTTTGTCCTAATAAGTAAACATAAAGGAAAAATTTAATTCAAATATTTAAAAACCACTTTTTATACTGTTTGAAAACTTAAAATTCTCATACCGTTTAAAAATCGGCTTTTAATGGCTTATTTTTATCTATTATCCGAGCATTGACTGAAATACAGTTCCACAATAACGTAATTATACTGGAATAAACCTTATTTTTACGATTATCTCGGAATTTTTAAGTTAGTTTGGATACTGCATGCGCTAGTTAAGAATTATATTTTAAAACGGCTGATTATTTAATTTTCTAACTTCGGAGGAATAAACCATTTCATTTAATTAGATACTAATTAATATCGTATAATAAAAACAAATGTTTAAGATTTATTTTTAAAATTTTATGGCCTTACAAAGTATCAAATCAAAATCTATTAAAGAAAGCTAAAATAAAAACAATCGAAGATGAAATTAAAAAACGAAGATGGAGCTGGCTCGGACATATCCTTAGAATGCCCAAAGAAAAAATTTCATTCGATCTCGATGTATCNTTTTTTAGAAAAAAAGTTGTTACATGGATTTGAATGATTGTTTTGAATTCTCAGAATTTTGTGCATTTGCAATGTTCCTAAGTTAGTAGCGAGCGAAGCGAGCTTGGTTTGCGAAGCAAACCATATAAGATTGCGTATCAATTTTCGGGGGTTGGTGAGCGTTAGCGAGCAGGGGGCGCAGCCCACTAGTTTCATTTAATTTGATACTAATTAATATCGTAAATAAACTAATTTCCAAAATTAATAATATAAATGAAAAATTGACTTATAATGGACTCTATTTTTTCACATATTATTTACAAAATATTTATACGTAAAAGAAAATTAGGTTTACAATACTGTTTATAAAAGTTTATTTATTGCTTTTAAAGTTCAAAAAAATTTTGCTGCCTTTACTTTTATGTTTATCTTAATAAATAATTTTGACTATGTTTTGATTTTTGCAGTCTGTTGTTTATTTGCCATATCTAGTGGCAGGTCCAATTCAGACCGCAATTATCATTGCTGTCCTCTGGTCACACATAAACTATGCTAGCTTGGCTGGTGTCTCCGTACTTCTGTTATACATTCCTTTTCAAGGCTTGATGGGAAAATTATTCTCGAAGCTCAGGTAACGTATGTTCTGACTATTTCAAACGCTGAACCTTTTCTGAAATTTTTTTATTAATACTTTTCAGCACTAAGTCGGGAAATTCTGAGTTAGAGCTATAGAAAAAATTATATTTTATTTTATTTTATAACCGTCGTTAAACAGCCGACTCAATTTTGGGCTTACGCCTACTAATGTTCAATTCCGTAGCCTTGTAATTTTGAACCCAATCCAGAAGACAAAGGAATTCCTGAACCAAGTATTGGGAGAAATTTGCCTTCATGGAGGACTTTTTGATGGAACTAGCCCACATTCGTGTTACATAGAGAGGGAAACCATGAAAACCTCCCACGATTAGCTTGACGACAAGGGGATTCTAACCCATGATCCGTCTGCCACTGAGGATATTTTACGTCAACACTGATGTCGGTGCAAGCCGTTTGCGGAATTCGTGTCGATCAGCCATCACTGGGATTCAAACCCAGGTTCACCTCATTGGAAGGTGAATGCTCTATCCGCTGAGCCATCGCGCCTCTCATTAAAAAATTATAGTCGTATTTGAAAGAACATTATTTTAAATAAAATATTAGTGAATGATACCTATTAGCTTCTAAACTAGCTTAGGTCTCTATGGCTCCGTCCTGGTGGTCGTTTTGGGAGCTTTTCAGAGTTTGGTTAGTTCCAGTTTTGGGTGTCAAACATTTGGGTGATTTTCTTCCCCATTTATCTCGAGAGTGAGCAATTTTTTATTTTATTTCATTCTTTAAAAACATTCTTTTTCTTTCCGTTTACTTTACTTTTAATGTGTTTTGTTTATTTAAATTCATTTATACGTTAATTCGTTTCGGTAGACGCTCAAACTAGCGAGTATTTTTTTTAAAAAAAAGACTGAAATAAAAAAGCAAATTTGTTTCTTATTTTTTTTAAAATTGATTAACCTAATTTTATGACGTAGAGTTTGCATAAACATATTAAAAAAACTATTATAAAAGCGTTTTAATTTTTCCTTTGTTTAATTTTAAGAAATTATATTTATTCTTTTAGTTTTAATAGTAAACTATAAGGTTCTTTTTCTGAATTTATCTATCTACTTATCTATCAAATTACCTAATATCAACTAACTTAACTGTGCTAAACTTTCTCCATCCCCATTGTTGCTAGAACTGCCGTAAAATATTTCTTGGAAGGAAAAAACATAAAATATTCTTCAAAAAAGCCAATTTGCTGCAGACTTAATCATTTTAACATTGAGCCATAGTAAAAGTATCTTTAACCAGGAGATCGTGTAAACATGTTTTAACCTTAATGAAGTATTAACATGAACCTTGCACCTGAATAAATTTAAACAATATTACTCTGAAAATTTAGTTCCAGAAGAATTAATTTGCTAGATTGGATTAGATAATATGGTTCAGCTTGATTGTAGCAAACTACAACGCCATTATCGATGGGCAAGTTCTAAACTTAGAATGCAGAGTTTGGTTAAATGTAAGTGAACATTATTGCCCATGCTTTATTAGAATTTTTCGCATTATGCAATTAGTGTTAGCGGTGCTTTTTACAGGAGAAATGAAATTGCTTACATTCCAAAGGAAGATTCATATCCGGGACAGCTTTCAACTTTGTTCTACAACGGCTCAAGTTTGCTTTAAAATATACGGAATTTCATTCATTCTCTAATTTTGAATCTATTAAAACTTAAAACCGTTCAGAGGAAGAATTCATGCCCGTCACGGCTTTCAACTTAGTAGTACAATAAGAGAACCATTTATCAATGACTATTCTTTTTATCAATGCACACTCGATTACGTTCGTTATTCAGATATCACTAGGGCAGATTTGTTCGCCACTCCTTCAGGGGCACCATATTTGGTGGGCCAACGTTGCTCCCTCAGTAAGGACAGATAGTACAGAGAATGAAAGAAAATCCTTGCCGGGGATTCGGATGCAGGACCTTTCGAATGTGAGGTTAGCTCCCTGATCACTACACTGTCCGATCAGCATGATCAATGATTATAATCTACCAATTGATAACGAGTCGAACTTACTTTTAAGTTGAAATTTTGTCTTTATTAACCTAACTCGTTTGTGACATATCAGTTATGGGTTATAACTTCGGTTATTTTACCAAACTAATAGAATTTCCTTTTGCATGAGCTTTTGTTATTTGTTTAATGAGCTTTGTTACTCAACTGATTTTAATTAATGTCTCCAGAATTAAAACAGCTGGTCTGACTGATGAAAGAATTCGTCTAATGAACGAAATCATCAGTGGAATGCGGGTTATCAAGATGTATGGATGGGAGTTCCCATTTGCCAATCTCGTTGATCTAGCTCGACGGTAAGTTTTATTTTCTATCCTTGTTACAATATTCTGTATTTTGACATAAAAACTCAAAAGATGTGATTAAAGTTCCTTTAAAAGCAGTTTTCTCATCAAATAATTTATACATATTTTTTGCTTATTACCTTTATAAGATGAAAAAAAAAATTGCAGGTTTTTATTACTTTTATATATTGCAATAACTATTCAAGAAATGTCGTAGCTTAAGGATATAAACTTTAACCGTAGCTACCAATAAAATTAAAATGTAGTGTATAATGTAGTGATGTGTGTGATACCCTCTAAAATGAGTGGCAGCACTTTTTCAGTTTAACTAAACGAAATACGTATCTTCTTAAGCTCCCATTTTTTCCTTTTTAAATTAGAGCTTCATTATTTCGGCTTCAATTATTTATTTTTATGTTTATATTTTTTAACTGTCACGACTGTGTTTTTTCTGATCATTTTTCGATTAAAAAAATGTTACTTCTGTCATCACCGTTGTTTCAGAAAGTTCTTTCCGTGCGTTCTTTTCACTCTTGCGACACAAAAAATATTGGATAAAAAACTAAAAAATTTCATTCATTTTGATGGAAATTTAAAAAGAACATTCTCATACAAAAGTGTTACTGCTGTTGATAATATTTTTTGAGTTCTACTCTATTAAACTTTTTTTCTTACTTACGTAATTCGAGAGCAATTGTCATAAGAATCATGATATTTTTTAAAATTTTATTGTTTCCTCAAACCAATAGAGGGATTTTACATAAAGTTATGGTTTCCTCTAACTCTAACGTTGAAACGTTATTTAAGCTTCACACCGCCTTCATTAAAATTTACCTACAAACGTAAGGTTAACGTAGAACATAACGTAAAGTTAAAGTAATTTAACGTCTCAGTTATTCACGTTACTAACTGTTATAAGTTGACGAATAGCATAAGTTAGTGAGTACATAAAGTTAACGTAAGACAAACGCTATTTAAAAGCTCTCTAATATCTATATTTCTAGAAATAAAATTTTTTTTCAATAATTTGATTAATTGAAATCTAGTTACATAAAGCAACAATGACAAATGTAAAAAGTTTTACGCTTCTCAGGAACTTCCTATTGCAGAGAATACTAATTCTGCCCTTCATTGACTCCTTTTTCACATTTTACGAGTTGCTTAATTGGTGTTGGTAATTGTCATTTTCTAGTTTTTAAACGATGTCAAGCATGGTGATACAGTTATCCCTAATTGCTCTTGATGTGTTGAGTCATCAAAGTGCCGATAAAGGAATTGCTTTTAAATTCTTTTTCATTTTTTTTAATGTAATGCTTAAGAGAAATATGAGTCGATGATCTCTTCTCGTAATTATTACAATTGACTCATTTTTTAAAATTTTTTCTTGTGTGTTTACGCGGTATTTTTGTCTGCCTGTCATGTCGCTAAGTCAAAACTGCAGAAGCATTTCAACTAGGGTTCTGAAATTTGGACATCGATTACAAGGGACAAGGGCAATGACATTATTTTTTTCTTATGCCATTTCTCAGGTTGCTGAATCCCTCATATCTCTGCTAGAAATGAGGGATTCAGCAACCTCAGAAACGGCATACGAGAAATGGCATACGATGTGCACCATTTCATTCACCATTTCATGTGTAACTAGGTTCAACTAGGGTTCTGGACATCGATTACAAGGAACAAGGGCAATGACGTTATTTTTCTCGTATGCCATTTCTCAGGTTGCTGAATCCCTCATATCTCTGATAGATATGAGGGATTCAGCAACCTGAGAAACGGCATACGAGAAATGACATACGATGTGCGCCATTTCATTCACCATTTCACGTGTAACAATAAGATAATGTTATTAAATGGTCAAATTTAGGAATTGTTTTTTCTCCTTGCAGAAAAGAAATCAGGAAGATTCGAATGACATCAATTTTAAGGGGAGTGAATCTTGCTGTATTCTTTATATCATCCAAGCTCATTTTACTCATATCATTCGTGGTCTTTGTCTTGGGTGTGAAGGGTGACTTGACGCCAGAAAAAGTGTTTGTTTGTATGTCACTTTTCAACAACCTTCGATTGGCCATGACATTATTCTTCCCATATGCCATTGCTCAGGGAGCTGAATCCCTCATATCTCTCAAAAGAATTCAAGTAAGATTATTTTAGAAAATCTTTGTTCTTATGTTTTTATTGTTTTTATAAAATGTTACAAATTTAATTCAGCGACGTGAAAAAAAAGGGGGGGGGGACGGCCCCAATCACCAGCCAGAAGGGGCACTGAATCGATAAGAAGACATTTAAATGTATAGATACTAAAATTTTAAGGATTAATATTTTTTTTTTTACGAAACAAGTTTTTTTAGAGAGTAAACAATTGATTCACGCAAAATATTTTATCGAGAATTAAGCATGATTTCCAAGTAAATTTTATAATTAAGTTTCTGATTCATTAATACTTTATTATTTAAATTTAAGAAAAAGAATATTTTGTTTGAAATAATTATCTTTTTACCAAACAATAATTTGTGCTTGAATGTAGATAAAATAAATGGATTCAGATATAAGTTTAGCTTACTATAAATAGCAAATCTTTCCAAAGTTTTATTTCCCTTTTTAGTGTGCTATATTTTTCTTCAGGAGAAGCTCCTGAAGAAGCTCCTCTTTAATCAAGGAATTTGCTCCGAGCATCCTTGCACCGTTGCAAGCCACGGATTTAATTAATTACGATGAAAATTTGAAGTTCAATACATTTCTAATTGGAAAATTTGACGAGCTATTAAAGACATTCACGTCCTTGGATAGAAGTAAAAAGCTTCATCCTTAAAAAGAATCATCATCTCAATGTGCTGCAATTGAGGAAATTCGTGAGATGATGAATTAGTAAATTGGATCGTTCTTCGAATGTCATTTTGAATAATTTTTTTGTCGCCGATTGTTAAACACTTCCATGCAAATTAGTTTAAAGCAAAAATTTTCCTCTCTATACATGGAGGTGAAAATCTCTCACAAGAAGTCTGCCAATGTGCACATATCGTAAAATTCGCAGTCCAGAATTTAAGGACATTCTTCGTTGTCTTCTGCATCTCATCATTTCTTCATAAGTGACACTACGATAGAGCTAACTTATACTTATAATGTTGACAGTCTTGAAAGACGAGATCCTAAATTATTGACTGATTTCCTAATTTCAGGGCCGTCAATTAATCTAAGAATAAGGAAGATGTTTCTAATTTTTAAAAAAAATCTTCACCCTTATTAAACTATTGTCTGCTATTTGGCGTAAAAGTCGCTGTATTTTGTACTTCTGCAATATCCTTTTATTAATTTTAATTTTGATTAACAGCTATTTGATGTTTTCTTATTCCATTTTAATCAGTTTTTCTAAATTTTTATCTCGTGAACACTTGGTCCATTGGACGTTTTCACTTTTAAACTAGCTTTCGTAATCGACTTATTAAAAATTTTGCATTTAACTTCTTTAACCACATTTTAAGTACTAAGTTCAATTTTAAACCAATATGTTCTTTTCTCGGTCATTTTGTAGCTTTTAGCCTACCAACTTTTAACTCAACCTTGTTATTTAGTTCCTCTTACAGATATGCTTTATCTTGTTTCACCTTGATTCGTATCTATGTCTCTTTTTTAAAACCTTGGCAAAACTATAAAGATCTTTTGGTTCACTTTGTCAAGCCACGCCTCCCACAAATGAGTTAAAACTTTTTTGTAACCTTACAATTGTATTTGTTAATTTGAAACGTTGATATATTTTTATTTAGTTTTACGGTTGTTGCCATTTAAAATTTTGTAACTTTATGCATTTTTAACGATATTAATAAATGACCTGGAGGGGCTTCGCAGGAACACTCTACCGGCTATTATCGGTTCGGACCTGCGTCTCCTCTCCTGAGGGGTGATCTTTCACTGCAACAGATCACATAAATTTTTCCGAATATCCTGTTTTTAGGGGTGGCGGGTATAACCTACACCTTATACAGGGTTATTCATAATTCCCTCCGCCTGTAAACGCCATTTTTCTTTACTACAACTGGCTTCAGTAGTACGTGTTACTTCCTCCAAAACAAGTCATCTGGTTCTTGACGGGTCATGGACCATTTCCAACCTTCTTTAATTACCTGCATATAACAGATACTGATCTTTGCACCTGCGGCCAACAAGGTTCGCCTGAACATTATCTCACTAGTTGTTCCTACACTGTCTCCTGGCATAGTCGTCAACCTAGCCCAACAAATTTAGAAATNATGAAGTTAAGGGTTTTCATAACCTAGGTACATGCTCAGGGCTTGGAGGAAAGAAAAAAAAAAGTACATGTTACTGCCATCTACCGGCAACTGCTTAAATTAAAGCTTGAATACTTTCGGAATAATTTCATATGTTCTTTTTTGCCAAATTCGTCTTCGTTTTCTTACTACTCGTATAACGCTTCGAAACCCCGAAGGGAATTATGAATAACCCTGTACTTCTGCAATATCCTTTTATAAAAGATATAAAGGAAATCATTTATACTTTGGGATAAGATAGATTTTATTAACCTGCCAAAATGCCCAACTTTGCCACATCAGAACTTATTACTTTTTTCTTGAATTGAAGTCAACACAATGGCATGAAACTTAAAGAATTAATAAGTTGTGATATAAGTTTGGGAAAAACATTATAAAATTACCAACTTGTGCAAATTTTTTCTTGAATAGTATCGTGATATTGGTTTCACAGTACGACAAATTAGTTTAAAAATTTTTATTTTGCAGTGCCCCCTCAATGTTTTTGTTTATAATATAACTTTCCTGAGACAAAACATCTTTAAACATACGTTCAGAATGTCTCTCGTACGGTTACATAAAACTTTCGGTAGAAATTAAAAAACTATATATATATATTTTTTTCTGAAGTTCAAATTTTCTACTCTTGAGAGACTTATTAATAAATAATAGCCGACTCATATTTGGTCTTGGATTTATGGTGGCAACCAGCTTGGCCACCTTAAAAAATTTTCTTTCACAACATATAAACTTTAGTGGTAAACAAGCCATATGCACTGCAAAACTGTATTTAAAAGTTCTAAATTTTGAAGCCCTCCTCAAACTCTAATACCTTAGTTTTAAACAATAATTTAAAAAAATCCCCCTCCCCTCATCTAGCTGTTGCCCGCATGGAAGTTCTTTATTTCAATTTTAGGTACATTCAAGAGATGTTCCCAATATTGTCAAAATTCTTTATTTAACAATAATGAACTTGATGAACGTAAGTAGCATAATTGGCTTTAATTAACAATTATTAGCCTAGAATTTTAGCATTAATTTCAAATATATTCGACTGCCATTAAATCGCATAAAACAACCGTAAGTGTGAGATATTTCAACATAGTGGACAGCAGAAGTTTTCCATCTCTGTTGAGAGATAAGATAGAAAACTTATCTCAATGGTCCATTACGTGCTGTACTACTTCATCACGCAGCTCTTGAGCTAAATATGAGTATCGCAGAATTACCCATGCAATGGTATACCTGCAAGTGACGTAGTGTGGTTATCTCGATCCTGATTGGTTGTTGAAATGTGGCATTTGTTTACGTTAGCAACTGCTCTTTCCACTCTATTTCGAGTAAGCCAAGCTTATCAAGTATCAATTCTCTTAAGTGACACATTATATATTCATCCACAAAGATTTCAATTCTTCTATTATATATTTCTTAACACAAAAACTGGCACGAAGCCATGTACAACATAAACTGACTATGCATCGAAGTTTCCAGGTACATAAAACAAAAATATATCATGGTTCGAATAAAATACATAAACAAATTATAAAACTAAGTTAAGTGAAAGACGCAGACGAAGAAGAATTATATTTTAACGAATTCGATGTTCGATACGGGGCTGTATTTAATTAACTTCACGTTAATTAACATTCTAATTTATGTGGAAAAACTAAGCTCAGCTTTAACTCGCCATTTTGCTTATAAGTGATCAGTTGGCACGGACATCATAGGTCACATGTGCGGGTATCTGTGATCTTCTTCTCCTCAAAGTACAAGTACCCAATTGCTCGAAAAAGGTAACCACTGTAACAACCTCTATAAATTCTGTCACCTGGAGCCCCTAAATTAGAGCCTTACTATCTCCTACCATGTAAAACAAGAAACACGGTCGGGAATTATGGTGAATAAAAATACAAAACTGATCTAAATAAATGCTTCACGTATTAAAAAACTATTCAACACAAATTATTACTTAGGACAACGTAACAAAATGAAACAAAATAAATACTTCATTTATAACTAATTTTTTAACACTATTTAAATTTTTACTCAAGACAACCTAAGAAAATGAATAATACTTATATAAACGTACATATATTGGAATACATATACTGGAGTATATAGTAGTACTCCAATAGATCGAAAAATACCCGAGTTTATGGTGGTACATCAAAGAAATATATGTATATATTTAGATTATCCATCTAACAATTTCTTTCTGATGAAAAAAAAATAACATTAACTTAATTTTACTTTTGTCAGAAATTCTTGTTATTGGAAGAGCAGCAAGAGACAGCGCTATTAGATGTTTCCAATCTGAGACCAAAACTCAGTCAATGTGGAATTTATATGGAAAAAGTTTGCGCTTCTTGGAATAAGGTAAGTAACAATATCAGAAAATCACGTTTTGATTGTCGATCAAAGACTAACAGCTGCAATACCGTGCAAGAGAAATTTATTTACTCAAAATATTTGTGGCCTGCAAAACACAGTTTCATCTATTACTTATGTCGCAAATGCGTAACATGATGATACTGTGGGATTTGCGTCTATAAATACCTTATAGTATTTCATGTTTAATTAAAATTTATACAGTTAAAAAATCCTAAAATGTTTTGTTCTCATAACGTACATTTAGTTCCCGATTGTTTAGGAATAAAATGTAAACCTTATCATCCTGTGCGGTTAGTATAGCAACTTTAACTACAAATTTGTTTTAAGTTCTTATTTCATTTTGGGCTATAAAAAACAGAAGAAAAAATTCTTTAAACGTTTTTTTTTCGAAGAGATTATTTGGCAATACTGTGAAAAGTTTAATTTGAATGCCTCTGTTCGCAAATTTAATGAAACTAAAGGGCTGCGCCCCCTGTTCGCTAACGCTCGCCAACCCCCGAAAATTGCTACGCAATCTTATACGGTTTGCTTCGCCAACCAAGCTCGCTTCGCTCGCTACTAGCTTAGGTGCATTGCAAATGCACAAAATTCTAAGAATTCAAAACAATCATTCAAATCCATATAACAACTTTTTTTTTAAAAAAAAATTACATCTTTTTAGTAAATACTAAGTCATTAAAATAAATTTGAATTCAAATAAATGACATGTAATTCGTTAAACCTATTAGAAATGTGCTATAGTATAAAATCTTAAGATAAAATTTCTAAAACTGATATCTCTTTAAAAAGGTTAAAATTTTGGCTATAATTAAGTCTATTAAAAATTGAAATAAGTGAATTGCAATGGAAAAACCTGCATAAACAAATAAATTCTAGTAAAACAAATAAATTCGTGATATAAATCAAAAATCGTCAAATAAATTCGTAATATATAAATTCGTGAAAAAAAGCGCTTTTGACAAAATACTAAAATAGAAATCTATCGACAAAGACTACTCACTTCTGCCTAGCTTAATAGAATGAGATTGCCGCAGCTGAATTGAACAACCTAATAGGATCTGTTTATTTCAATTTCCGTTTTTAAAAGCGCTATATGTTGAGCCACTTCAGCTAGATTTGGCATGTGACATTTTTAGCGGCAATCACAGGTCGATTTTCTAGCGTTGCTATTCGGGGAGTTGTAATTAGGCTTTTTTTTGTCTCCGTGTAAGAGAAATATATATATAGATAATTATATTGATTACAAATGTATAACTGTTCAAGCGGAGGAAAGCTGCGAGTCGTGAGTTCGTTTCTGGCAGCCGACAAAATATGCAGTGTATAAGCAACAAGATGTACATTAAATCTGTGTCGCTGCTAAAAGTCCCTTCATTGGTTGTGGTGTGGAATTTTGGATCGGGGTTGGGTAGTCAGGGTTGGGTAGTTATGTTGATTGTTCGGTGTTTTGCATAAAATATATTGTAAAAAACTAAATATCACTTACTTACTGCAAAATTGAGAATGTCCGAAATAATTTTTAGATTTCAAATTTTTTTTCACTTTCATTGTCAAGTTTCAACGTTCAGCATGTACCGATGTAGTAAGTGTAGTAAGTGCAAAATATTGATACTAAACCTTATGTATTTTGGATTCTCACTAAAAAAACCAATAGAATGTCATTATTTACTAGATTTTGGACTTCAATAACATTCATATTCATATAAACGTAACTACTTAATGCTTACGTTTCTACGAGTTGAAAAATAATGAATTAGTGAAAAAAAATTCTATAGATTTCAAAATCGTCTTCGAAATTTGATTTCAATTCTCAGAATTTGGTCAACATACTATTTAAAGTGATGAGTACGCACGGCTAGATATTTCGGCTCGTGTTGACCTTTGTCGACTGTTGACGCGCGTTGATTAGCCTGTTAAAATTTTGGCGCAAATTTTTGCAACTACCTTCAAGTGACGCCAATCTTAATATGTTGTCATCTTATTTTACTTACAATTAACCACGTATTTTGATTCAACTTGAAAGTAGATACAGTACAATATAACATCTTAATAAGATTGCAGCAAATTTGTACTGTATTTTTGTTCAAAATATTAATATTATGGTACAACATAGAACAGATTTTTCTTAGAGTGTTAGTACTCTTACTATGAGCAATTTAGTAACGGCACTACTCAATACTGTCAGCAATAAGTCACTATGAATGAATGCACGTGACACAGTTAGTGTCTTGTAAATAATTCAGATTTGTAGGTATGATTCATTAAGGACACATTTAAATGCATATGTTAGTAGCATATACATTCATATATGTATTTATTACTCTTAGATATCTCATTAAAATCTAATATTGTTTCTTTATGCAAATTTTTTCAGGATGGCGAATCGACTCTTCGTAATGTTACACTTACAGTAAAACCTGGAGAGCTTTTAGCTCTTGTTGGACCAGTTGGATGTGGCAAGGTAACTCTTATTTGTACAAAAATATTGATACGTCAAAATATAGTTTTAATTGTTATCGTATAACCATTTGGATGTATCCTTTTTTTTTCTTTCTTATAGACATCTCTTCTGATGAGTATATTAGGCGAACTTCCCATAACATCAGGTGAAGTTAAAGTTCGTGGTAAAGTCGCCTACGCAGCTCAAGAAGCCTGGGTATTTGGTGGAACCGTAAAACAAAATGTCATCTTTGGAAGTACTTTTGATGAAAATAGATATAAGAAAGTTCTCAACGTTTGTGCTTTAGATAAGGTCTGTTTTTTTCTTCTTAATTCTAAATCATTATCAGATTAAGATAAAAAGTACCTCAAAATATTTTAGTTATGCTTCTAGATTAATTTAAAGAGTACATGGACTGAATTGATTGATTTTGATCCAAAGTTTTTTTTTTTTTTACATGTTTATCACTCTTGCAATAGGCGTTGCGATAATTTGTGTGGATTTCAACTCTAATCCAGAAATTGTCTTAAGTTTTTTTTAACGTTTAATTTATTTAAAGTTGACAAGCACTTTGTGATACCTTTGCTAAACGTTTGAAATAATTTTCTAAATAAAATACACTAATTTTTAAAGGTTATGAAGTAGTAATAAAAAGCCACAAAATCATTGCAATGGTAACCATATTTAAAAAAAAATAATTGCCCGTAACCGTAAAAAAAATAATTGCCCGTATTTTTGCAGACCGTTTGTTTATACAGACGGTTTTCTTATTATAAGTTCTACATGTTTTTTGCTTCATGGAAAAATTGTTTGTTACTTTTAAGCTAACTGAAAAACTTTAGTTTGTGCTAAAACGCCTATCTCTTTCTAACAATTAGAATTAATGAACTATACTGCAGAGTTTTTTGCATGGATGCATTGTTTATAAATATTTAATTTTTCATGTAATTTTAAATATTGCTTGTAAATTTTTATCTTTATTTTAAAATAAATCTTATACAGTTTAATTTAAAGTAATGGTAAAGATTTACGCTTTATTCAAAATTAAATGACGCGTGTATTTGTTTTAGTTAGCTGATGTATTTCCTTAACATTAACCTCTTAAAAATTTTTTATCAAAAAAGTTAAACTAATTAAAACTTATTATAAAAGGAAACAAAAAATAACAAAAATAACTAATAGTTACCATTAAAATTATTTACAAATAATAAAAAATTTTTTTTTACAGGATATTGAACTTTTTCCGTATGGTGATCAAACCGCTGTTGGTGAGAGAGGTGTTAGTTTGAGTGGAGGGCAAAAAGCAAGAGTTAACCTTGCCAGGTATTTAAAAATAAGATTTTTTTTTCGTAATTCATAAAATATAATCTATATAATTGTAATTTGTATTACACATTAAATTTATTCTTAATTTTATGGAATGCGTGGAGTCTATTTTAACATTTTATGTTTATGCCTATCCAGAGCTATGTATTTTGATGCTGATATTTTTCTCTTGGACGATCCTCTAAGTGCGGTTGATGCTCATGTCTCAAAGCATTTGTTTGAAAAGTCAGTATATTTTTGCTCTATTTTCTTCGTATTATTGTGTTTTATTGTTATTGGCATACATTTACAAGCGTCTCAGCCACATTTCAACCAAAGCAACATTGCAAGAAAAAGCACCTTTACCAAATTGCAACAGAAATGAGACAGTCACTGATTTGTGAAGTCACGTGCAATTATTTGCGACGTTGATGCCACGTGCAGTTTTTGCGAGTCAAAAAAGGTTACTAAAAGGTAAAAGGTTACTACCACATACGATAATATGAGACAACAATGAAACATTTAATTCTCGCAGTGACGTCACTGTACGACGAAAATGTGACATATTCACGTCCCAATCTAGTCACTTCGTGACCCTGTTGAGACTTGAATTTGTCGCATTTTCGTCACACCGAGACTCTGTTCAATGAATGTGCTGCAGTTTCGCTACACGGTGACAACGCTGTGACAATTAAAAGTTTCATTGCAGTCTTATGTCGACATCTGATTGACGATACTGAAGACGGACGCAGTAACTTTTTTTTAGCTAAGTATCGACCTCGCAAAAACTACTCGTGTCTTCAAAAATGAGTATCCGTGACTGTTACATTTTGTAGTAGTCTGGTAACGGTGTTATCTGAGATAAGCTCAGTTGTGTCATTAAAATGTATTTCAATTTTTAAAAATACTAACTCAAAACTCACAAACCGTATATATAGAAATGAGAAAAAATGATCTTATATAATAATAATCATCATCCTTTCTCTCAAGTGGAAAAATCTCTTTATAATTAAACGGAAAAAAATCTGTTTAGTAAAAAAGTTAAAAAAATAATATTTACATCACCCCAAATCATATAAATTTTACGGAAAAAGAGACGAAAAAAGTATCTCTCTTAAAATAGTGGGGAAAGAAAGGTTTTTCTTTACGTACAAATAAAAAGAAATTTACTTTGGTGAAAATGTCAAAAGCAATATTTTTAGCATATGCAAAAGAAAAAAAAGGATTTTTACACTAAAATGAAAGAAAAAGAACACTTTAGTGGAGAAGAGAAGGAAAACAAAAATACCTCACTTTCAAATATGTCTTTATATGTGTCTAGTTTTCAAAATTTTGTGTTCTAGTTCTTTTTCAAGTAGGGAATATTTTCGGTCAAGTCTGCAATTCATATTTTATTAGTATTTCTACGGCATTAAATCCGTAGTGCCTCTAAACTTCCTCTTGTAGAAGAGAAACATGTGTCAACATGAACTTCGTTGCACGGACCACAATTCCAAAATGAAGTTTTCAGACGTATTTACATTTATAATTAGGGGACATTATATGATTTTGTATAAGAGATACATGATTAAAAGAATGAAGGTTTTTATTCTTAAATATATCCAACCTTGTTTTAATATTCAAAACATTTTAATCATTTATACAAAAAAAAAAGTCTGAAACTATCTTTTAAGATTGAAAACCTACTAATTACCATAAATAAAGCTTGCAAAATCCTCAAAAATGAATATTTTTTAAACCTTATATTGAAGATTACAATAAGATTTAAATTGGCATCTTTATTTTATTGTTAACTTTAACATAGTTAACTTTTGTAAATCAAGATTGCAAAAATAATTCTAATACTTCCCATTTTCTTCCCAACGACTATTTTTAATTTTTTTCTAGATGCATAAATGGATACTTGAAAGATAAAGTAAGAATATTAGCCACTCATCAAATTCAATTTCTGAAAGGAGCTACTCAAATTCTAGTGTTGAAGGAGGTAAAAAAATACATCAATTTAATGCATTGTCACAGTTATAATAATACTTTTTTAAGTACATTTATTACGATCTATTAATTTATATTATTTATGAAACTAACCCGATAAAAGAAATTTGAAATTGTGAAAGCTTCAATTCAATATGCTGTTTTAAAAAAAACTTCATGTTACTCTCAAGTATAAAAAATGTAACAATTATTATTTGCAAATGCGATAAACATTACATTAAAAAAATTTATGATATTGGCTGAAGGTAATTTTTATGCATCGAAGGCTACATTTGAAAACGATTGATTAAAACGTACTTAAAAAAATGGTTTTCAACTATCGCATGTTTGGAAAAAAATTTAAAATTTTGAAGTAAACAGTTTACGTAATGAATTTTTAATCAAAGTTCCTTAAAAGGTTTAGAAAAAAAAATCGCTCCTTATTTTAGCGAACAAATATGCTTTAGAACCATTTATGCTGATTCATTAAATTGAATTCGTTAATCGATTTCGTTAAAATAAATCGTTTAAAAATAAAGGAACACAGATAAGAGATTTTATCTACTAGTTAAAAGACTCTTTGTCTCGCTTTTATAATTTAAGAACTTAATTTTTTAAACAAAAAATTTATTTAAAATTTTTTATTAATTATTTTATTTGTTAATTTAATTAATTTATTTCATTAATTTTATTTGGTTATTTCAGTTAATTAATTTATTTAAATTGTTTATTTATCTATATATATTTCTGTAATAAATTTGTACGTATTTCTCTTCACCGTATTCGCATTTTTTTTTTCCAGATAAACAAGGTAAGCTCCTATTTTTCTAGAATTAACGCTGTTTTTTATACGATTAATTTTACTGTTATAAATACTTAGAATCATATAATATTTATAAAATTTCCCTTTGAATCTTATAGCGTAATCTATCGGTATTTTCTATACTGTAAAAGATTTTCTTGTACCTATACACCAAAAATAGTTGCAACTACTTTGCACCAAGTGGTTGTTTCATTAAGTGTTCTAAAACACCAAGACCCAAGGATAGGGTTTGGTGCTGTGAAGCACCTAGAATGTTCTTTTACACGACTTGGTGTAAAGTATCTACCACTAACCACTATGTTTTTCATTTAGCAACACTAAAATTTATAATTATATTAAGACATGATAAACATAAGAATCAGTACAGTACATCAGTATTCTTACGAAGCAATATCAAGTAAGAACCAATAATTTAGGTTTCAGTGCATACACTAATTCGTAAAGTAAAATGAGCTTGTAAATCAAACATATGCGTAGCAAAGAGAGGCTGGTTTTTCGAAGGCTCCTTCGTAATATAAAATTATGCTTTTTTGCGAATAATATGCTATTCCTATATTTGATGCGAGTTTGTAACTGTTACTCATGACAGTTGGGTCAAGTCTAAACCTACCCAAAACCAGCGCTGTTTGCGTTTATTTTGAAAATGGCGCAGAACGTTATTATGGAGAAAAGCCACAGTTTTGTTAAAATCAAAAGCGTTTGCGGTTTAATTTTTTAATATTTATAAACTTACTCCAATGCTGCATTACTTGGACTGATAAAGAATTGCAAAAACTGAGAATAAAGCATTGATTTTGATAATTCTTATCAACGTGGAACGATTCTGCCACTAAAGATCACACGAATGCGCGTTGTTCTGAATGCACCCATTTGAACAAGTTCTTACATTCACTTTAAATGCTTTTATGGGAACAGATTGATCAATCACATGGAAACTAGCATTTATTTTGCATCGTATCTTGAAGAGTGGTGCTGCTATAGCTACTGTATTTTTGACACCATCACAATCTTTATTTGGTCAATCTTTATAAATACCTATATTAAACATTATAATGAAAATTTTCAAATATTTAAAAATATTATATTTAAAGTAGAAATAATAGATTTAAATGTAGTGCAATTAAAACAAATTATCAATTAAAATATCTAAATCTAATCTAGCTAAATCAAATTATCCTTCAAAATGCCTAAATTTTGTATGATTAATACAAATTATCATTTGAAATTTCTAAATCTTAAACTGGTAATAAACAAATAATTATTTAAATTATAAATTTTTGCTTATCAATTGTTTAATATTGTCATCTATTTGCCCTTGTGGTAAACAACATATTAGTACTACGTTTCATTTACGATGCATTTATGTTTCTTAATTCAGGGGCGCTGTCTGGCATTAGGTTCTTATGAGCAGTTAATAGAAATGGGTGTTGATCTTGGCTCTCTTATGGAAGACTATGAACACGATCGTCGCCAAAGGCTTGCATCTATGACAAGCATGACTGCTTCAATCCATGAAGAAATTACAGATATAACTGGTCCAATCCCAATATACGAGTCGACACAATCTATAGCGTCTTCAGTTTCTGCAGAATTTAATCAAGTAAGTATCCAGAAATTTTTAGAATATTTTCTGAAATAAAATGCTCTTTTTCCCTAATTATTTATTTTAAAAGGAATGAATTTGCTTTACTTTATTTTTCATGCCGGCCAGGTGGCCGAGTGGTTAGCGTGCCTGACTGCGGGTTCGAATCCCGCTCTGGTCATGGATGTTTCTCTCTCTCAGTGTTGTCTTCTGATGTGTGAATGTATGAATGTGGCCCACCCTATGAACGGGTATTTGTGGCAGTGTGGCGTGGGTAACGTTGCTCGCCTCCCTGACTTTGGTTCACAGTTGCCCACTGGTAATGGTAAATGAGCAACACTTCCTGCGTCTTCTAATACGAAGAGCGAAAGTTCAGTGCCTGCCGTTATTAGATAAAGATAAAAAAACTTTTTTTTTTACATCCATGCATTATATGGGAATGAAAATCTTAGATTTGTTATGTTAATTCTATTGTTTGTTTAAAAAAAAAGGCTTTTCACACTCTCAGATATAAAACTTTCACTTTCGAAGATTCAAGAATGCTTTGCAAGATTTCGTTTACTTTGAGAAAACTTTCGCCATGAAATCACGTGATTTGTGACGAAACGCGAACTCTCAAGTATATGACGAGGCTAGAATGAAAACTAAGCAATAAAAAAATGACGAAATAAGTCAACTGGCCTGTATGGTAGTAACCAGGAAGAAACCGCGATTGAATCACACTTCGGCTATGGGTGTAGTTTACTGCTTTGTTCTGTCTGTACCTTGTGTTGACAGGGCGACATTGATCCACCTATATAGTGCCCACGATAAAATGATAACTAGTAAAGTGAGATATTTCAGGAACTACGTGTTTTTTTCTTTTTTTTTTTGTTAAAAAAATAGATTAACTGAATATTTCTTTAATTTTAACGAAATTCGTTTTCTTGAAGAAGGGAATATACTTATTTTACCACTTTGACGAAAAATTCGCTCGGAGCATATGCCAAGAAACTAATTGATTAAAAACGCGGAAAGTTTCGTTATATCTAAATTTGAGTGTCCATATTTACAGCACACTGGGCTTAAAAGTGATTTTTTAATCCCGTAAATTTCTGAAGGAAAAAAAATTCTGTTTTATGATGTTTAAATTGTTTTTGAATCTTCTATTTTAAATATAAATGAATCTACTCTACAGGCAGATGAGCATGAGGAGAAAGTTCCTAAAGGACCAGAAGAACTCAAAACGAGTGGCGCTGTGACATTCAAAGTTTACAAAGAATACATCAAGTCTGGTGCTGGTTGTTGTATGAGAATAATTCTTTTGTTAGCATACATTATTACTCAAGTCATATTTAACGGCAGCGACTTCTGGCTTACTGCCTGGTAACTTACTTTTTCTATTCCTCCAAATTAACTTCAAAAATTCATTATTTGTTTTATATTCAGAATTTATTTACAAGTATTTAAACATCAATTTTTCGCAGTGCAATTTTTCTCCTTCATTTATTTATCAGTGAAAATTAGTCCAGTGTGATTTTAAGATTAACTTTTGATAAATATACGTTAAAAGTTATCAGTATTATTTCTTGACTATATCCGACTGTATAGTTCTCTTATAGCTTCGTAATTATAATATATTTTTGATTATGCACTTTTTATTATGAGTAAATAAATAAACACAAATTATTTTGAAAGTTTTTTTAATGAAAAATAAGACCCTTTTAATTTCAAATAAATTTGTCGGAACTTAATATCCGTTTTTGCTGCAAATTGTTATTAATAATTTTTGTACTTTACGAATGCTGTTAGAAATTTTAGAACGTGTTGAACCTCAATATCGCACAAATTTGCTGTAACATTAAAACAGTGCATTGAAAAAGATTCCGGATTAAATTTTGGTAAAAAGTACAGGACATCAGGATGCCGATATTTTTTATCGTAAAATCCATTTTTACCGGAGCGTATTACGGAAGAAAAAATCTGATATTTACATTTAAAATTCAATATTTACAGCAATAATTACCGTAAAATAACCGAATCACTCTAGTTAAATAAATATTACTGTAAAATTTACGGTATAATATTTTACAGTAAAAATTGATTTTTCGAATGGTACACCCAAAGTGTCGGTGCTTAATATTGTAATTTGATCCAGAATTTTTTGCAGTGTGGTAAATTTTACTATATTATTTTGCAAATTAAATCCGTCTAAACTTTACATGATATGGAATTTTTAACCAATTTTTTTACAAGTGTAGCAATTTTCAAAACTGTGTTGATGCTGTGTAATTTACTTTGAGCGTTGTAATTTACTTTAATTTATATATATATANATAGCACTGATGAATGAAAGTATAAAAGAAGCCTTGTCAGAATGTATTTCTTAAATAGCCTTATTAATTTCATTTTTTTTATTTATTTTGAGATTAAGAAAAGTATTTTTTGCTCGAATGATATTCTATATTGATGATTATTAGAAAAATTGTAATGACAATCTATATTGTAATCTAAATTGTACCAAAAAAAAATAACTTCACAGTGGGCATAAAGATATTGCAATTAAATAGTTTAAAATGAAAGATTGAAGCACAAAACATCATATTCCTATAGTTTATGAAAAATAAATGAGAATAGATTTCGAAAAATAATAGATAGTTAATTGATTTGGAATCATAGAACGTGAAGAACAAATATTATTCTAAGTGATCTGTGTTCATTTATTTATTTATTTATTTTCCCACTGTACTACGATCTGATTTAATGACTGCATTTCGTATTTCCACCCTACTTTTATCACTAACATCACTAAATCAAGTGCGTGATCATATTACAGGACAAACAGTGAACAAAGAAGATACAACATTAAAGATTGTTGGGGAAACACCACCAAAAGCGCTTTGAACGAGACTAGACTTTACAACGATACTTACGGTTTGTTCGATCCAGAATACTTTAGGTATAATATAGCTAATGTAAGTGACGATTGCTTCAAGGTAACCATGAACTATCTGAAAGACGAAGAGGATGCTTCCGCAGAAGTACGAACGTCTTTCAACTTATCCGTTTATGCTGGGCTCGTCCTCTTGGTCTTTCTTCTGTCACTCTTTAGGACCACTGGGTTCTTCCACATGTGCATGAAAGCATCTGTAAACCTTCACAACAAAATGTTTCGTTGTGTTCTTAGGTCACCTGTTTCGTTTTTTGACAGCAATCCTGTCGGTAAGTTCTTCTTTTAATTCTTAATTTGATAATATAACTAAAGAGTTGAGTGGATAAAGGTCTATGTGAAATTTCAGTACATTCGAGAAAATTATCGTTAAAGTTGATAATAATATATTAAGAGTAGACATTGTCTTCCAAGAGCTTCTAATTGGAGAAATATATTAATTCCTTAGCTCTCATTCGAAGTGTTTGTGTTATTTTATGATATAACTAAAGAGTTCTGTGGATGGGGGTTCTAAATGAAATTTAAGAGAAAAATTATTATTCTTTTCATTCTTACATTGATTTAGTTTTAGGTTCTTTTTCTAATTCATTATATAATAATAAAACTAAAGAACTTAGTGGATGAAGGTTCTAAATGAAATTTAAGAGACGCCGAGAAAATTCTTCTCTTTTTAATTCTTAATTTGATTTAGTTCAAGTTTTTCCTTTAATTCTTAATTTGATAATATAACTGAAGATCTGAGTGGATGAAGGTTCAAAGTGAAATTTTGACAGGGAATTCGAGAATTTTTTAAAAAACTTTACTCGTTAAACGTACGATATTAAAACTATGTGTTACCTTTATTTCTTGTCCACATGCTTCTAATTAGAGAAGTATATAAATATCTTCGCTCTAAATCATTGTCTTTCGTATTATTCGATGAAGAACTGAGTGGATGGAGGTTCTAAGTGGTTTAGTTATTTGAGAAGTTGAGTGAATTACAGTAAATTAGCTTTAAAGTATATATGTGGACAATAAGAATTAAGATTAGGCCTTGTCCTATTTCTTGAACCCTTCGGTAGAAAAGGTCTCATGAAAAGGTTTACACCATGAAGATTTCTGTAGACGAGCTCACACAGGTGAGCAATAACTTTGCTGCAAAACGCTATAAACTTTCCCAAAAGGAAATATTCTACAATAGTTAAGGATACTTTTCATTGGTCAATCTGCTGCTAACAATCAGACTGGAGAAAACTTTTTTAGTGACGACCTTTGTTTTAGCTTTTGATATAATTTGTAAGATCATTTGATTTCGTTACTTATAAGAATTTAAAGTCATTTAACATCAGCGCAGTATATGGGTTTTTGACATCAGTGTCATTAAATTTTAAAATCAATCAATCTTTAGAACTTTATTTTAAAACAAAAACGCCTCCGCTTGTTCATTAAAATGGTGTATTTAGTTTGTATTTCATTTTTTGAAGTTAAGTGTTAATTTTTTTTAATCGTCTAATTATTTGTATTTCATTCCTATATTTCGTACAAAAAAACAGCACATCTACAGCAGTGCTTGTTACTAATCTTGACATACTATATTATCAGGACGAATTTTGAACCGATTTTCAAAGGACACTGGTGTCATTGATGAAACGTTACCCATGGCTGCCTTAGACGCTGTTATAGTGAGTAAAATATACAGGAAAGCACATTACAAATATGCATGATGTGTACTAACTTTGTATACTTTCTTTCTTAGCACGGGAATGGTGGCAATTACTTTGGTGATGGTTTTGTCAACTGGTGGCGGATGCTATCTTTGTATTGGGGTTTTATTTATTTTAAATTGAAATAGGTCTTTTCTAAACTAACCATTTATTGTTGTAAAATATCTTTGAACCTACGTGAAAGTAATAACTCTTTATTAGCATATAAGGAATTTAAAGGATTTCTTTTAAAGAGAAATTTTAATTTTTTATATGCAGGATGTATCGTAACTGAATGTTCATCCAAATTTTAAAGGGTAAAAGAACAGGATGCAGCAAATAAAAACATTGATGCAATTTGCTATAACACCGAAAACGACAAACAAAATATTAAGACTGAACTAAACGAAAGGCAAACTAAGTGTGCAGTTCAAGTTTAAATGGAAATTTTCTATCATTGTATAGATAACTCTTTACTCTATAACCTTAAACTCTGGAGGAAAACGAATTTTTAGTTTCAGTTCGTTAACAATTAAAATGAAATTTAAGTAATATGAAAAGGTAAATATATTTAGAAAAACAAAATGACTTTTAGATAAGTTGATTAGGTTACAGTAAACGAAAATTTAAATATTAATCAAAATCCAAGCAGTAAATTATTGATATTTATTTAAAAAGCGTAGCTCTATTCTGTTGCGATACTACAAAATTTCTGTTATAAACTGTCTCAAAACCAGCGAAAAATTGTGGATAAACAATTCATATTGAGTAGTTTTTCGTTACAGTTTACAACAATTTCTTTAGATACGTTATGCGACCTCTATTATTTACTGTAGTTAGTTATGAAACATTTCTTTGGATAAATTTAGGTCCCACAGTAATCACTCCTTACGGAGCAAAAAATCGGATATACCTTGATTTTTACAGTAATTTTCACTATTATTTTTGGATGCTGCACTCCAGGTGCCAGTACTTTTTAGCGTAATTTGATTAGTCATGTTTTACTGTGTACCCTTTAAAATTTGATACATTAGTTCACATACTGATATAAGCCATGCATATAAAAAAAGTTCTTAAAGAGTAAAATGTACAATAAAGTTTAAAAGACATTGGTAAAACATTGAGTTTAAAGATAATGATTTAATGTGAAATTTATTTTTAAAAGTATTTAAGTCTTAGGTATTTTTTAAACTTATAAAATTTAATAAATTGTAATTTTTAAAGGACAAAACCATCAATATGATTTAGAGAATTTTTTTTAAAAAATAATTATATATTTTGTCACAAAACGTAAATTTGTGAATCAGAGAATAGTCTATCAAGAAATAAAGATAAAAGCAGAAATATTATCATATATGCTGAATGTAGATCTGAATATCTCATTGAATGAATTTGTGAATAATTTAAACTAGGTTTTGTTGTCACCCTTGTTTGTTTTAAACTACATTTGATGAAAACGTTATTGTATTTGAAAATAAATAGCCGTTTATTTGTCACTTGTTTTGTAAAATCAAAGTAGATAGTGCTAACTATCTACAATTTGATCAAACTTTGTTTATTAGAATTGGAAGTATCATGAACTGCATTTGAGAAACATTTAAACTTTTAGGTTTTATTATTGGAAATTTGTTTATGTGTTCAACATAAGAACAGGCTAATTTTTGACTAAAATTTTTAATAAGGTGAATTAATCATTTGATTTTCGCTATTTAGAAACAATCAAGAGGAAACAAAATAGTGTAAAATAATCTAAAGAATTTGCAATTAATATTTTTATGAATTTTTTTTAATTTCTCCTTTATATCTCTTTATTGTAAATATTTCTTATTATGTTTATCATTTATACTTAAATTTTAAGCTAAATTAAGATTTTTAGTGTAACACGAAAGTTTAACTCCTTGCTATAAAAGGTCATTGGGGATATTTAAATATAAATAATTTTATAAAAAAATTTTAATTATGAATTTTATTACGCTTAAAACACATAATATACTTTATTTACAGACCGAGAATAAAAATAGTTTTTTTATTAATTATTTACAAGATCATTCCTAAAATATTGTTTATTATAAATTAAGCAGCTTAGATTTGTATTTTCAAATTTAGTAAATTAAATAAAAAGTTTTTTAAGCAAACAAATATTGCCTGGGTAAGTGCTTCTATGACTGTTGTTATACTAACAAAGAAATGAAGTGTTACTTTAAAATATTTTGAATATCATTTTCCTTCTTTTCCCTTTTTGAATTTCCTTCTTGCTTTTCTTGTTCCGATAGCCCTCTATGCTATTTATAGTTAAAATAAATTATGCTTCTTTTTCCTATGTAGATAATATGGACTAGAATTTTTTTAAAGAATACACCACATTTTTTGTTTTATTCTTATATTTCTCTATGCTTTTTATAACTGTAAATTTTTTTTATTTGCTCTTGTTTGTACAATTTGTATTTATGTTACGTATTGTGTCTGCTTTAATCAAAGTTAAGCACTCATGCATAACCTAGGCAAATAAAAAAATCGAATGTTTGAATTTAAAGAACACCAAATGTCAAAAAAAAATGTCTTGGGAACCCCTTAGGATAATTATTTGAAATGCTGAAATATATCATTTAAAAAAAAACGCATTTTAAGAAAATTTTCACTTGTTAATGAAAAAGCTGATCTTCCTTAGGAATATCGTACCCATAGGGTTATTACCCATAGGGATATCGAAAGTGTATCATAAAATACAGACACTACACTAAGACAAAGTATGGACACAACTGCCAGAATATGGTAAAATTTACCGTAATTCTAGCTCTCTGCCAACACCAAAAAGCTCAGCAATTTTTACTGAAGAGCTTTGGTAATAATGTTTGGTGAAGCTAAAAATAAAATATGGCTTTATAATCTGTAATTAAATGTGGTAAAATTTGGTAATTTTATCATGATACGTTAGAGCACGGCATAAAAATCTTTTATTCGGTTAAATTTGCTTTTTAGTTATGTATTTTTTGCGATGTGTGATAATTCGAATTATAATTTTGAAAACCAGAACTTTCTCTAAACCGTTTGCATATGAACGAAAAATTACCAAATGAATTATTTAAATATTGTATATTTCGGTTTTATTGACCAGAATTATGTATTTTTTTTAATATTATTATTATTAAAAATGTTTTTACTATACATTTCGTTAATTTTACTAGAATGTTTTTTTCCGTGCACTATGTTTTAAATAATGAATTTGTTGGACAACTTCATTAAATAACAAAATCTACCATAATTTATTTTCAAAAGTCTGAAAAGAACTTAATAATGATTTGATGAGTTTATAAGTTTATTCAAACAAAAATTTCCTCGTATAGGGTAAACTAACCAGTGAAGGAACACTTAAGCTTCGCTTGCTTTTTAAAAAATCATATTAATTTCAAAATTCGTAATTTTAGTTAAATGACAGTGTCAATATATTTGTTACTAATTGCAAATTATGTAAAAAAAAATTGTAGAGAACTTACATAATATTGCTTTAAAGTTTTGGAGGTTCAAATAACAAGTAGTAATAAAACCAAGTGAAGGAACACCTAGTAAAGGAACACTTAAGTTTGGTTATTTTTTAATGCTCTTTATGCATTTATAAGCCATACAAATATTTAAAGTCTAGCCTATTCTTGAAATTATAACATATAAATACTTGGAAAATGTTAACTTTTTTTGTATACATGAATTGAAAATTAAAGTGCCAACATATTAACACATACTGTTCATTCACTGAGAAATCTATGCCCAGTAATGGAACATACCTATTCCCTCACTGGTTGGAAGTTGTTTTTTGTAATTTTAACATACTTTTGATGCGGAACATCACTAAAGGTACAAGAAAATTAAAGTTTATCTTTTATTTTCATTAACTTAGAAAAAAAACCAGTAAAGGAACACTTGTTCCTTCACTGGTTTTTCATCGTTTGGTGATCCAGTGAATAAACACCCCCTATATTTTGAATTCTCTTTTTCACAGTGAGAAAAATAAAACTATTACATGCAGTTAATTCCACTTCAAACATATAAATACAAACACTCACCTTATAATTTTTTTCAAAGAAACAAGGTGTTGCAGAGATAATAACAAATTCAAAAATTTTTCCAGAGAAGTCTATTTGACCAGGTAATCCAAAACATTGCTAG